CCCCAAAACCCCAAAACCCCGTCCGTCAAAATCATAATATATATCTGTAAAATAAAAAAATAAATAAATTAGCAAAAATAGTGACTAATGATTACTCCAAAATCTGTTTAAAGCTAAACTTTAGAGCTACCTTTGATCGAGGCTAAAAATTTAGAGAAATAACGTCGTATAATCTTGAACCCCTAATAAGATTCTTTAAGGTACTGGGTATTGTTAATCACTTGCTACTCAAAGTTTGCTAAGTAAGTTATTTCATAAAATTGTCAATAAACCTGACACAACCTTATACCTCCTCAATTGCCATTTAAATTTCTTTCATCTTTATGAATTTTATCTAAATTTCTACAAATATAGTTACTACACTAATGAAAATCCAGCCAGCATTAAATAAGAAGTGCTTTATCATTTCAAGATAAACAATTTGGAATTTGGAATGTTTTTCTCTATTGCTAATACTGCCAATATAGTTCTTGCTTTGATAACAGGCATTTGCTTTGACAAAGTTAAGATAAGAAATGCTAACATGTTTTGTGGAGTTCTATTTTTGATTGGTCAAATTATATTCTTACTCAGCTGTTACGGTGAAACTAATTATAAATTAGCTCTTTTTGGAAGATTAATTATTGGGTATAAATTTTGCCATCATTATCTTACAGAACTTCAGGAGAGGCTTTGAGTATAGTAAGCATGATGATAATCAATCACTGGTTTTCAAGCAAAGAACTTGGATTCGCTTGTTCGTAAGTTTAAATCAAAACCATAACTTTGATAGGATTCTGATAACCTTAGCCAAAGCAGGCTAAAGTTTAAGTAATTTCCTACTCCCGAAGTTGTATTTTCACACTTAAAACCTTGGGCACTCAATCATGCCAAGTATTATTCTGGGAATTATAGGGGTTGGGTTATGTTTTGTATTTATTAGCATAGAGAAAAAGATTGAACGATAAAATTTAGAGAATAGCTATATAAATGACTCCAATATAAACGCTAATGGTTAAATCATATCTTATGATAACTCTGTTGAAGAAAAGCCTTAATTTACAATGAGATTGTTTACAAATTTAAGTAGAGTGTTTTGGATATTTATGTTGGCAAATACTTTATCCTATATGACATTTAGTCCTTTTCATTATCTTATCAGCTAGATTTTAAGAGTAAAATTTCACTTTGACATTTTATAATCTGGCAATATTATGGTATTATTTGTTTTAGAAATTAATCACTATAGGGCTATGTGGCTATTGTATCTGTTACCTTAGGTCCTTTATTAGGATTCATTTCTGACAAAATAGACAAAAGGATGGCAACTTTGATTTTCGCAAACTCATTGGCTTTGTTTGTTCACATACTCTTTGTCACTTTACCAAATTCCTATTAGCCTTATACGATTATTATACCCATTACTCTTTTTGAGCTTGCGATTGGAATCTTTATCTCTAATCTTTAGGCTGCAATGAAGTAAGTATAAAAACTAAATCTTTAATGACTAATATAGTGAAGTATCACCACCTAAAATGATTGGCTTGTGTTTTGGACTATTAAACTCTCTTTAAAACCTAAGTTTGGCTGTTGCTTAAATAATTGTTGGAAAAATTCTCGACTAAAATTCAGAAAACCTTACAAAAGGATTCATTAATGTGAGCTTTTTGCTAGGGATACTTTCCATACTGAGTGCGCTTATGATTGGATACATCATATTGAATAGAAATTATTAGCTTAAGGATAAAATAATCCTAGGCTAGAAATGATCAGAGATAATTAAATAACCAATGATTTGAAAAATAACTGAGAATTTCGACATTGAAAATAAAGTTGATTATCTAAGAAATCTTTTAATATCATTTCATATTAATCTACAATTTTATACTTTAAGGGGTTTTGGGGTTTTGGGG